ATCACAGGGACACCTGGACAGGTCTCCAGTCCATCACAGGGACACCTAGGGACAATTCAGAGTTACCAGTCAGCCTAACATACGGTACATGTTCTTGGTCTGTGGGAAGAAACCGGAGAAAACCCACGCAGCACGAAGAGAACATACAGACTCCACCCAGAAAGGCCCTGGGCCAGGATTTGAACCGGCAACCTTCTCGTTGGGAGGCAGCAGCTCTACCAACTGAGCCATCGTGCTGTCATATGAAATACTGAAGCAGAAATATCAAAAAACTACTTTATGCTAATTAACCCATCATGAATTTATTCTTGCCCACATTAATATTTTTATTTTAATTTTTATTTGTTGTAAAAAATTTATTCTGGCAAAATCTAAAAATCCTTCTCATTTTGTTTTATTTAGTCAGAATTGTTTCAAACTCTCTTTTAACCTGTCACTAACTTTACTGTCCTCTGGTGTTCCTTCAGGAAGACGTCACTACGGTGGCCCCAAGGTGGAAATGAACAACATTTGAAAAAACAGAATCACATTAAGCCAAACAGGAAGTTTTTTTTAACTTTATTAACTGCATAAAACCAAACAACAGAACAATATACAGAACACACACAACTGAGATGTGTGTGTTCTGAATATTCTAAAAAAAGTTGTCAGGTCCTCTGGATGTTCAAAAAACAACAACAATAAATAAATAAAAATGTAGAAACGTTTCTTCTTTAATCCTGAGGACTTCCTCAGTCTGAGGTGCTGTATTCAGCTCAGTCTCTTAAATAGCACCTTCTCAGAGTGGATCAACCAGTTTGCTGCTGACAACCAGAACCAGCTGATCACATGCTCAAGAAGGACCATCAGCCTAACAATGGATCATTAGCACCTGATGGCTGTTTACTGTTCACAGAGGGCTGAGTGATACTAGCAATCACAGCATTGTAAGAGGGGGACAGTTGAACACGGAGGCTCCAGAGGACCTGACTGAACTTTTTTAGATTTTTCTACCTGGAGTATTGAGCATGCATCACGATGTACTGTACATTGTTCTGTTGTTCGGTTTTATGCTGTTAATAAAGTTGCTTTTTTTATATCTTTCTGTTTGGCTTAATGTGTGTCATAAATGGTGTTTTAAAGGTCGAACCCAAGGTTGCAGGCAGGACACTGAATACTCCAAATGTCAAAAAATCAATATAATTTATTAAATAAATGTGCTGACGTGGCAGCAAAACTCACATTTACAGGTGATCCTGGGAAACACGGAGCAAGGTTGGCATGAAGAGACAATGACCGTCTGACAAGGAGTGAGGAGCACACACTAACGAGGACAATCAGCTGGGAACGATGACGGAGGGAGCAGGAAGAACAGATGAAGAGGAGACAGGAGGACAGGTAAGACACAACAGAAGAGGGGGCCAGACCCCAGAACAACACAAACCCTACAATGTGATTATGTCTTTTCAAATGTTGTTCATTTACACCTTAGGGCAGGGGTGGGCAATTATTTTTTCCATGGGGCCACTTGAGAAACAGCAAATATTGTGGAGGGCTGGCACAAATGACTTTTTCATTCAACCTTTATTTATTCAGGTAAATCCCATTGAGCCTCGAGGACTCATTTACAAGAGAGACCTGATTTCAACTTAACTCAGTACTGCATAATAATAATAGTATTTCATTATTAAACGCAGTACATAGCACTGTTTTAACAAGCTGGTAAGAGTATTTGTTATGATTAAGCAACAAAAAAGTGAGGTTTCCGTACAAAAAATGTAATTTATTCAGTTAAATTTCCCAGTACAATGGTAAACTGTTAACATTTTTACCATTTGTGACGTTATATTAATGATCATTTTCAGTCACATTCACCCCAAAACTCATTTTGAGTTTTATATACTGCTGGAAAAAGTTCTTAGCTTTCTAAATAGATCACAATATTGTCTTTGTACTCCAAATATTTTGAAACCTCATATAATAGTGATCGTCACTGAACCGTGACTTCGAGTCCCGGTTCTTTACGTGCCTACATTTGTAGTCTAAACATCTCATTTGGTGTTTTTCAGTTCTTTTTTCTTGTTTAGTGAGAGAAGTTTAGTCTCTGTTGGGCTTTAACGGAAATGTTAAAGTCAGGCTGAAGATCTGAGGTGGAGATGTGAAGCAAAGCTGACATCATCAGTGAGAGAGGATCTATATCTGGATTTGGTTAACTTCATTTGTTTACATATGTATTTTGTAATTCCCCTTATGGGGCCGGTCACAGTCAACCAAAGGGCCGCATGTGGCCCTGGGGCCGTACAATGCCCAGGTCTGCCTTAGGGCATCACCTCCATCTTTACGTTGTTCATTTTTATTTTAGCTCACTCCATGATTTTTGTGTTTTACATTTTAAAGCCTCTGTAAAAAGTTACAAAGACTTCAGCTGATGCAGGAAGCAGTCGTCTTTCCCCGTCAGTCCTGCCTCCCATCTTGTCTGACAAACTTATTTTAGTTTGAACGTGTAAAGAAAAAACACTCGTATGTTGGACAAATTAACATTTATTACAAACGATCTGTTCCACATGATGCTGCAGAATCAAACCGTCCACGGCTCAGAACGACGACTCCTGTCAGCTTCACTGAAATCAGAACGTCATCACAGAATGCACGAGTAGTTCAGAAAAATTTAATGAGTTTGAAAAATAAACTAAATTATATGAAATCCTGCGTGTCTGACCACAGAGCTACACAGATACATTTCACAGAAATTAGAGCATCGTTTTTGGCTACTTGATCGGACGGGTGTTCACAAAACTGCAAAATATCCATTTGCATTTAAAAAAATTGTTGTTTTTAAAAATTGTAAAAATATTTTGTCCATTTAAAAAATAAGGAAATTTGAAGTATATATTTTTTTTTTACTAAAGCCACAATAAAGAGTTAAACAGTTTTAAAAAATAATTTACACTTGATATTTGTATTTCAGACTGAATCTTTCAAAGATTTATTGGGTTATTGAGGGGAAAATATTAAAAAATATATATTTTTAAGCAGTTTAAAAGGTTAGATGATTTTTCTCCTAAGGAGCACTAACTCATAAACATAAAGGTTCTTCTGAGGGTTAAATGCAATAATTGTTCCTTTAAGTCATTTTGTTTCTCATTCTGTTATATTTTATATCATTTCATTTTATTTAGAAACAACTTCTTCCTGTAGTGCACAGAAGTGTCCGCCAGGGGGCGACAACGTTTATGAACAAACCACATTGTGCTGCAGCGCTATGAACTCTGGGTATTTTCTTATTTTCCTCTAACATCAATCAATCATCCTCTGAACCAGAGCCATCTCCCCACACACGCACACACGCACACACACGCACACAAAGGCGGTTCTAAGTTTAAAGTAAACTGTGAGCCATAACTGAAGTTGCAGAGGATAATCCGTCCCAGGAAAAACATTTATGACGTGTGTGTGTGTTCTGTTTGTTGTAACTTTGCAGGACCCTTCTTAATCACCTGCCTTGTGAGGACCTGTGATCCTTACGGGGACCAAAGTTCAGTCTTGAGGTGGAAAATCCCGTTTGGGTTGGGGTGTCCGGCTGAACAACTGAAAGTCAACACAAAGTCCTAATAAGGATAGCAATGTTAACTTGTGTAAGTGTGTGTTTCCTGACCCCCAGGTGTTTCCTGGCCCCTCCCTCCCTTGTTTCACACACATTTGAGTCGTCAGCGTCTGTGCTCACAAATACGTCTCACAGGGTCAGGTTTCACCTCCTCAGAGGCCTTTGTGACCGATCCTTTCTCTGGAAACTTACCCCTACCTGAAACTGTGACAACTAGGATCATAACGTGTTGTGTCCCTTAAAGGACGTCCCATTCTCACTGTGGGACTCAGACGTCCCCACAGGATGTAAAACCACAGAGCCACGCCCGAATGTTTGGAGTGGATGTTGAACACAGTGAGAAACGGAGGTGATGGCACAACAACTTCTGCTGACAGTTTCAGCTCTCTGCTCAGATTTATCTCATTATTTACATTTATTCAGGTTGTGCTCCTGTTGATTTAAGAAGTTGTTATAAGTTTGTGTCCAGCTCTATCTCACTAACATGAAAAAATATTATTTATGTTTTATAAACTGAATCAAGCAGCAGCTCCTGTTTGACCTCTGATGGAAGAGATCAGTTACATAAAAAAATGTTCGATACAAAAACAACTGGACTTTATTTGTAACAGAAGACGTTGCGCTCCTCATCCGAGGAGCTTCCTCAATTCAATGAGCAGAGAGTGAGGGGTTCAGGTTCAGAGGCTGAGAAAAGATATACATGCATATGCAGATTGACAAGTCACACCTCAACACCTTAACTGTAGGGGTTTCTTAAAGTCTTTGTTACTCTAATTCACAGATGAGGCCCCTCTGTTCCCATCAGGTGTGAAAACTGGCTGGGAATCTGTCTTAAAGTTGCATTATAGGGTTTTGACAGTTAAAATCTGAGGCCTCCTCCTCTGTTAAGAGACGGTTAAGGTCAAAGTTACATTACTTACATCTGATAAATGATGTCTTTTTCTGTAAAACACAGACTGCTACTTTACCAGCTCTGAAGGAACAATCATATATATTTTAAATTTAAAAAATAAATCAATACATAAAAAATTATGTGTGAAGTTGTCCCACATTCAGACATCAGATTTTTTTTGTCAGAGTCCTCTGATGGTCCAGAGAAACGTGTCAGAGTGAGACCTCTGATGGTCCAGAGAAATGTGTCAGAGTGAGACCTCTGATGGTCTAGAGAAATGTGTCAGAGTGAGACCTCTGATGGTCTAGAGAAATGTGTCAGAGTGAGACCTCTGATGGTCTAGAGAAATGTGTCAGAGTGAGACCTCTAATGTTCCAGAGAAATGTGTCAGAGTGAGACCTCTGATGGTCCAGAGAAACGTGTCAGAGTGAGACCTCTGATGGTCCAGAGAAACGTGTCAGAGTGAGACCTCTGATGGTCTAGAGAAACGTGTCAGAGTGAGACCTCTGTATTTGTATTAATTCTTGTGTTGTTTTGTAGCTGAAATGATAAAAACCTCGGACTCTGACTGACTGGGCGGGGCTTCACACTCGCAGGGGCGGGGCCTCCGGCTGGCACTCTGCTCTGTCCCGGGGACGCGCCCGTGCACTCTCCCGGGCCAGGCCACCGGCCAGCCTCGCTCCTCTCCGTCTGCTCCGGGTCTCGTTCAGAGACTCTCCCGTTCCATCCGGTCCAACGAAAATCGGCCCCGTTCCGAACCAGAACCGGACTAACGCACGGATTCCTGAGTTTCAGAAACTTTCCGGACCGGACCCGCTGTGATTTAAATCCTTGGGCCTCAGTCCCCCCACCCGGACTCTTTCCTGTCCCCCTCCGCCGGCCTCCGGTACCGGACACTGACGTCATCTTGTAGTGATCTCGGACAGAACCACCGGAGCAGACCCGTTTGGTTCGGATTTAAACTTTTTTCTCTGGGGGGGTGAGACCCACACAGCGCCCCCTCCCAGGCCCGGTACCGACAGGCCCACAGCGGATCCAGAACCGGGTACCGGCCCCAGAATCCACCCCCGGGCTCCGTTATTTATTTATTTGTTTGTTTGGACGCATTCCTTTGATGTGGAGATGAAAGGGACCGACTGAGCGGGTCTGCGCGTGGCGTTCACAGACTGTCGGTGTCCTCCGGTCCGGTAGAGGTGAGTCATGGTCCGGTATGTGGTCCGGTCAGAACCGGAAGACTTGATGCAGTCCGTCCTCAGGTGGGACGGCTTTAGACTTTTGTTTATTTATTATTCTGTTGTTTGTTTATTTAGTGTCTGAATTTAATGGAGATCAAAGTGAGGAGAACATCTGACGAACAGAACCGCCAGAACTTTTTAACCAAAGTTTGATGTTAAAAGGAAAAGAGATCCATCATTTAATCAGTTTTAGATCCATTACACTTTCAATGTTTATTATTTACATTAGTGGGAGACAAACAGGAAGTCACCTGAGACAAACAGGAAGTCACCTGAGACAAACAGGAAGTCACCTGAGACAACAGGCTGAGATCATCAGATGAACTCAAAGATCCAGAGGTGCTTAAAGTTTAAGTTTTTATACTTTTCTATATTTCTGCATCAACTGAAAACATGTTCAGATTCACACAAGTGCTCAAAGTAGATCAAGAGAACCAGTTAAACTAAAGAGAGACTATATTAAACTGGTTCATTTATTGATTCAGGACAATGATCAACAATGATCAATAATGATCAATAATGATCAATAACACATGTTAGTGGTAGAAGTACGTGAACCTTTCAGTTCCTGGTCTGACATGTTCCTTCAGAATTCTCTGCTATAATTCAGAATTCATTGTTCCATCAATGATGACGAAGTCCTGGTCCAGATGCAGCAGAACAGACCCATACCATGATACCACCACCACCATGTTCCACAGATGGGATCAGGTTCTTCTGCAGGAATGCTGTTGTCCTTTCTCCAAACAGAACTCTTCGTTTAAACCAAAAAGTTCTACTTGGTCTCATCGTGCTCAGAACATTGTTCCAACAGTCTTCTGGCTCGTCCACGTGATCTTCATCAAGCTGCAGATGAGCAGCATGTTCTTGTTGGAGAGCAGCGTCTTCTCCTTCAACCTGTCATGAACCGTTGTTGTTCAGAGTTCTCCTGATGGTGGACTCATGAACATCATCATCAGTCAGTGTGAGAGACCTTCAGCTGCTAGAAGTTCCCCTGGTCCTTTGTGACCTCGCCCACTATTCCACACCTTGTTCTTGGAGTGATCTTTGTTGGTCCACCACTCCTGGGGAGGGAACACTGGACCTGAATGTTCTCCATTTGTTCACAATGTGTGACGGTGGATCGGTGGAGTCCAAACTCTTCCCAGATGTTCTGTGACCTTCTCCAGCCTGATGAGCATCAACAACTCTTCTTCTGAGCTCCTCAGAGATCTCCTTGTTCCTCCAACATGTTGTGAAGATCAGACGTTGATAGATCCTGATCTTTAGATCAAACAGGTGATCACTCACACCTGATCATCATCATTGATTGAAAACACCTGACTCTAATTTCACCTTCAGATTAATGATAATCCCAGAGGTTCAGGTACTTTCATCACTAACATGTGATGTTGATCATTATTGATCATTATTGATCATTATTGATCATTGTTGATCATTATTGATCATTATTGATCATTATTGATCATTGTTGATCATTATTGATCATTGTTGATCATTATTGATCATTATTGATCATTGTTGATCATTGTTGATCATTATTGATCATTGTCCTGGATCAATAAATGAAGCAGTTTAATGTGGAGTCTCTTTAGTTTAACTGGTTCTCTTGATCTACTTTGAGCACTTGTGTGAATCTGAACATGTTTTCAGTTGATGCAGAAATATAGAACTTGATTGACAACAGCAGTGGTTCTCTGCTGGGGTCCCCGGACCCCCGAGGATCCAGGCGTCAGTTCTTGGGGGTCCTCAAATGTTTTATTTATTTATTTATTTTTTCCAAGCAGCTAGATGTTTAACAAGCTGTTAAACTACAACAAAATGCAGGAAGTCACATCTTCTTTACTCGAAGTTTTAGTTTTGGTGTTCAGTTTGGACCTTCAGCACCAGCGAGCGGGTCGCAGGTTCTGGAGGAAGCAAACAGGAAGTTGTTTTTAAGATCAGCTGTTTGACGAGGATGAAAACAGAACCACAAACACCAGAGAGAACAACAGAGTCCATGCTCAATAATCCAGGTTTATAATCCAACATTTTTCAGTCAGGTCATCTGGACAGTTTCTTTTTTTGTGCTGAAACGTTTCACCTTCCATCCAGAAGGCTTCATCAGTCAAGGAAACACAACAAAACTGATTCTTCCCCCAACATCTTACTCCAAAGTGGAACAAACCAGTTCTGCTTGTGATAAGATGGTGACACCAGCTTATCACAAGCAGAACTGGTTTGTTCCACTTTGTTGTTGTTGTTGTGTGATGAGCAGATTGTTGTTGTTGTTGTGTGATGAGCAGATTGTTGTT